CGAAGCAGCTGCCCCGCCAGCTGCCGGTCCTGAGCCTGCATCTCCCGCTGCAGCCGAGAGGGGGCATCAGCCGGCTGCCTGGGCCCTCAGCCGCTCCCGCCCGCTCGTCCTTCCCTTTCTGCCAACACCCTGGGTCTTTGCACTGTCTGTGTCCTCCACATCCCTTCTCATCCCAGTTTAATCCCTCCCCACCTTTCTGCCCTTGCTCCCCAGGAGCGGTTCTAAAACCAAGCTAAGAAGCCAGCATTGCCCTAGCTGGTTTAGCTCATGGATACAGCGTTGGCCTGTGGACTAAAGGGTCTCAGGTTCGATTTCGGCCAAGGGCACATGCCCAGGTTGCAAACTCGGTCCCCAGTAGGGGGCGTGCAGGAGGCAGCCGATCAATGATTCTCTCTGATCATTGATGTTTCTGTCTCTCCCTTTCTCAAATCAATAAATTTTTTAAAAAATTAAAAAAAGAAGCCAGCATTGCCCTGGCCACTGTGGCTATGTTGGGTTGGTTGGAGCGTCCTCCCATACACCAAAAGGAGGTGGGTTTGATTCCTGGTGAGGGTACATACCCCAGGTTGCTGGTTTGACCCTCTGTGGGATGTTTCTCTCTCTCTCTCTCTCTCTCTCTCTCCCTTTCTATAAAAAAAAAATCAATAAAATATATATAAAAAAGAAAAATCTAAAGAAGAACCCAGCATTAAACAAATACAGGTGCCTCAGGCCCCATCCCAGATAACTAAGTGGAATCTCCAACTGGGAGCCTGGACCTCTTTACATTTACACGTGTTGGATTAAGAGCCACCTATTCAGCATTCGCTCCTCAGATTCTGCCTCCAGAGTGCCCCATTCTGTACTTCACAGTGTCTCTGGGCTCAGCAATTCCCAGAGTAGGGGAGGCCATGCCCTCCCCATCTAGATAACTGGTGGCCCAAGAGCAGGCTCTGTGCCTTTAGCCTCAGAAGCACAAGGTCAGCAGATTGAATGGAATCCTCCAGCAAGTCTTCCTGAATAAAACACTGTGTCCTGGCTCCTCAGGACACAGCCACAGGAATGCGCAGTTGCTGGAGGCGGGGTCCATTCCCACCCCACACCCGTGGTCTTGGAGAACCGTCCCCAAGGCCCTCTGCAAGGCTGTCCACCCCACCAGACTCACCAGCTCCCGGCGCAGCCACTCAAGGGCAGATTCCATGGAGTCAAAGCCGCAGATGGCCCCAGGTTCCCCCGGCCCAGGCCCAGCTCGGGCCTGGCGCCAGGTCTGGCTCTGGACCTGGGCGGTCCACTCCAGATACGAGGGCCGCCGTGTTTGCAGCTGCAGCTTCGCCGTCAGAGCCTTCACAGAATCCAGGCTCTCTTCCTCCTCGTTTTCTTCACCCACTGCCTGGAATTTCGGTGGCCTCAGGGACATGGTGGGTCTGGGACGGGTGACAAAGCAAGACTGCAGCTCTGGGATTAGGGAAAGGCTGGTAATATTGCCCAGGTAGTGGCGGCAGAAGCTGAGGGTGAACAATGTGCGATGGTGAATGTTCAAGGTGGGTTGGGGAGGCTGAGTGTGTGAGGGTGAGTGAGTAGATGGGTGTGGGAGGCAGAGTGGCAAGGGCTGGGATTTTCCAGGACCGCTAACCCTGGAGCCACGTGATGCCCATCCGTTTGGCGACAGAAGAAGCCCTGCTCTTTTGGCCCCTTGGATGAATTTTATTGTCTTTGCCCAGAAGGAGACACCCAGTTTCCCAGAAAGGAAGTTGTTCCAGGATAAGAAAAGCATCACCAACACCAGCTTCTTGGCCCTCTTCCTAAGACCCACGTAAGGGAGTGGGGAGGGGATAGAAAGCTGACGAGCTGCCCTCTGTCCTCACTCATGGCAAAGGAAGTGTCCAGAGCCCTGGCCCGGGAGTCAGAAGACTTGGGTTCTGACGCTGGTTGTGTGGGACGTTGGATAAGTCACCGACACTCTGTTGGGACAGATCTTGGATTTTAAGCTATGCTCTAAGGAACTTTAGGTTCCCTTGGGAATCTCTCAGAGACCGCATGCAGGATCAGGGCACACCTGTGGATGGGCTCCAAGGCCTGTCTCTCCTGGTCCTTCCCAGGGCTTCAACCTAAGCAGTTCCCTTTTTTATTTTTTTTAAATATATTTTGTTGATTTTTTACAGCAAGGAAAGAAGAGGGGTAGAGAGCTAGAAACATCGATCAGCTGTCTCCTACACACCCCCTACTGGGGATGTGCCCACAACCAAGGTACATGCCCTTGACGGGAATTGAACCCGGGACCCTTCAGTCTACCCACCGGCTGACTCTCTATCCACTGAGCCAAACCGGTTAGGGTGCAGTTCCCTTTTTTAAACTTTGTATTGAAATGTAACATACAGAGAAAAACACACATATCATAAATACACAGCTTGATGAATACACAAAAGCTTGGAACCTAGTGGACCAGAAGGCCCTTTGAAGGCAGGAGTCCATCTTCGTCTTCTTAATAATCAGTACTTAACACAGTATAGGCATCAGTGTTTGAGAAATAAAAGAATAATTGGATGGATGGGCTGATGAGTCCCCCGGTAAATCGGGTTATCTCGTGTAAATTACCAGTTGAAGTGTGACTCTTGCCAGACCGTAAACCGTATGAACAGAATTCGGTCATCCTTTGGTTGCAACACTAAGCATAGAACTCAGCTCATTGTATGGGCAAAGAATGGAGCAATAGGGGATGGGGCTCCGGGGAAGTGGTCACCATAGAGGGCGCCCTTAGGCAGGGACATCCAGCTGTGGTGGCTGAGGGGTGCCAGTTACACAGCTGTTTGCATTTAAGGTAGACCAAAGGATTTCCCCCACCCAACCTCAGATGTAAGGGAGGAAGTAGGCAGTTCTCAGTTTCACACCCACACTTTCCACCCCTTCCACCAGGGTCCAGAAGAAGAGATGGCATTTTTCTTTCTTTTTTAAGTCAGCCAGAGTGCCAGCATTCCAGTCTAAAAAGCCATAACTATTGCCCTAGCCAGTTTGGCTCAGTGGATAGAGCCGCAGCCTGAGGACTGGAGTCCCTGTTCAATTTGGAGTTTTATGCTCAATCCCCAGTAGGAGGCGTGCAGGAGGCAGCCGATCAATGATTCTCTCTCATCATTGATGTTTCTATCTCTCTCTCCCTCTCCCTTCCTCTCTGAAATCAATAAAAATATATTGGTAAAAAATAAAGTAAAAAGCCAAAAATATTAAGTACCTCATGCGAATTAAGCACCAGGCTAAGGGTTTAAGCAAGATTATTCTCCCCATTTCACAGATGGTGGAATTGAGGTTTCCTTAACAAGTTCTGCCTGAGGTCCTCGCTAGGAGGTGCTGGCAATAAGAGGGGGACAGTTCTTTGGAACTGTGTTACCCTTCCTCCAAGGGGACTCCTCAACGGCTGTCCTGCGGGGCGCCAGCTGCCCAGCCAGTTCCTGTCCCTCTTGGTGCCCCAGCTTGCCCCGCCTGACGCTCCTGGAGTCTGTCCTTTTGCTGGGCCCCAGGCCCACCTCCGGAGGAATGGAGTTCTCGGAGTTGATCCGCACTAGCCGGGCCCAAGCCGAGCTCTTGCGGGGCCAGGAGGCGGCCCCACTGCGTGGCACGCTGCCGGCCACCACTTGCTGCTGTCTCCAGGGCCCCAGGCGACTCTGGGTCTCTGGCTGCTGCTGTTGGTGTAGTGTTGACTCCATCGAGAGGCGGGGGCGACCCTGGAGTTGGGGACTTCGCGGTTCCGCGGAGTGAGGGGAAAGAGCAAGTGCAGTTGGAGCTGGTGCATTACGTCCAATCCTATAACTGGTTTCTCCTCCCCTGATGGGGGGCGGGGTACACTTAGCCTAAACGCGTTCATCCCCAGGGTCTCGGGTGACTCTGGCACCATCATGCTGCGCTGTAAGGACCTGCGCGCGCTACAGCTGGACATAGCCCGCTCCGTCGAGGTACGCCGCGGTGCACCCGGGGCACTTACGCTATCCCTGTCCCGTAACCATGGTAGTAAAAAGGGGTTGCTGAGCAAGAGCATTCAGCAGCCAGTGTTATCTCGGGGCACAGCTAATGGCTAGGGAACCCGGGTGGTCAGGAGTACTTGGAGAGGCGGGAGCTGCGGACCCAAGGGGCCGGAAGGTGTGGATGGGATGATCCCACCTTTCCCAGATCCCCTGCCTTCTTCTCCAGGCGCTGTCCTCCCTGGAATCGGTCATCACCTCCTATCTGTTCTTCTACCGTCCCAAGGGCTTGAGACTGGGCGCCGCCTGGCGCTTCCACCCGCCTCGGGGTGTGGACGCGCCGGGCCTGGGAGGGGCGTGGGGACATGGCACTCACTGGGCACTCTAGAGCACGCCTTCGCCCCTCCCTGCGCTGCAGACCGACGCGTGGAGGCTGAGCGGGATGAAAAAGGACTTCAGCTTATGCCCAGTTACCCCCGCGCCGTGATCGTGCCTCGTGCTGCGGCCAACGAGGCCGTGGCGCTCAG